ACTAGCAGTATTTGAGAGATGGTTATTATTGCTATTAGCTGAAGAGCATGCAAAATGAATTATATACTGCATACACATTCATGAGTTGATCTCATATAATAAACCATTTCCTAGTGATGACAACTAAGGGCCATGCCTGTGTAATGTGTGTTGAAACAGCCAATTGTAGTCTCAATCAGAAGCAGAAGCACAATTTGGAAACAGCGAGATCGATGTAACCCTATAACAGGAACTGCCAGAACAAGGATTTTTATAGAAAGGATCACCAGGCATGGCATCAAAGTGGACCATTCTCCCCTTTGACTAAAAATCATATCAGCAAGCAGTTTTGCATGCTGATATGAAATCATCTTACATTCATTAGCTAAATAAAGATATTTTTATTTTACTTACAATTTCTTTTTCCCACTTCCTGGTTCACTTTGGCACAAATGATGAAATGTGTCCAAGCATGGCATCCTCGGAAGGTTACATCAGCAGTGCATTGCTAGGAAATCTCATCTGTAATCTCATGAGATCTCAGGGAAAAGCATTTTCCTCCCCTGAGATGATATGCAAGGTCACATGTCCTAGTCACATGTGCCAAAGTTTCAGGAAGTAAAGGGAGATGGATTAATCTGCCCTTAGTAAAAAATGGCCACTGTGAGAAGAATTGGGAAGAAAAGAAAAATAAGGTATGCAAAAGATAAAAAGCTGCAATTATCTATATGTTTGTAGATTGTCTTTAAACATTTCTAAAGCTGCCTTTGTTGTTATTTTGAAGATATGGGTAAAGTTCCCCTTTAAAAGTTGCAGATTAAAAAAGTTATTCTAAAGTAACATACTTTAGAATTCTAAAACCAGTAGAGTTCTGCTTTAAAATAATTAGGTGCTAGAGGAAGATGGTTTACTTAAATATGTGTTTTATTAATCGTAGAATACAGTAAGTGGTTTGCAATATACTTTAGGGTAAGGGTGAAGGTATGTAGGCAAAATTAAAATTTGGCGTTATTGTCTTTGATTTTTGTTATTGCATGTACTAAACTAAAGTAGACAGCGTGCATGGGGCCTGTGGAAGTTTTATCATATATCTGTCTTCAGCTTAGATACACAGTATCAGCTTGCAAGATTCCAAGTTGGTGGACTGTATAGTCTAAGGGCCCCTGCACAGAATAGGGCATATTTCTAAACAATTTGCAGAACCATTCGTCCATGGCTAGTAGATGGAGCTGAGGATAATAGGAAATAAGTAATTATTTGCTATGCTCCTCAACCCCATCTAGTGGCCATAATATGGTATTTTTCAGATATTACAATCGAGTAAAGAAAATATGTTAACATTTGTTTTTGCCTCCATTTGCACAGAAAACGTGTACATGCATTATCTCAGGATGAATAGCTCTGTGAATTGTTTATAAATTTATTCCATATGTGTTGTGTTAGCATAATGTGTTGTATGCACAGTAAGGCCTTCTGCCTTAAAAGTACACTTTCAATTTTGAATGGGCTAGAAGGGCACTGTAATGCATGAAAGAACACGCCTACAGCCATTTTGCCGACACCGTGCATAACAAGGCAAACTATGGAGGACTTTTATCAATCCTGTCTCACAGCAAAGGCAAAGCTAAACAGCAGCAGTGAAACAGACTGTGCAACAGATCTATTACTAGTAGAACAAGTATCTTGTTGCACTCCTTACCGGATAGAAATACCTGATAAACAGGTGGGTGCTTACAGCGACCACGAATGGCACCGTGCAAAAAATTAATGTATAGAAATATCGCCAGCACACCAATGATTCAATGAAATAAGCAAAAGTCCATTTATTGAAGGAACATCGCCATTCAAAAACTAGCGCTTTCGGGGGCCACACAGGGTCCCCTTCATCAGGCTCATTCTGTGTGGCCCTGAAAGAGCTAGTTTTTGAATGGCGATGTTCCTTCAATAAATGGACTTTTGCTTATTTAATTGAACCATTGGTGTGCTGGCGATATTTCTATACAATCCGATCTATTACAAGGTTACAGCAATACATTTCTCCATTGGGTGCTCTGAAGTCGCACTGGGACTGAATAAAACCTGATCCCGCACCACTTTTTAATTATGTATCAGTTTAAAAAGAAAATCTGTCCCATCTTTATCGTCGCAGTTGTCTGCCCAAGAATTTAGACGCACTGGCCGCAAATACACTATAAATTTGTGGCAGAGATTTTCCTAAGTGACAGCCAGCTGATTTGCATTGTGCTGCTAATTTGCTCCCCCTATTATGTGTTGTGTTGTGATGTATTTGAAGTATGTTTGTAACTAAATAAAATTACACTGTTTTGCACATCATGTAGTGCGTTTAAGCCCATTACACTGATGCATTGCTTTAATGTGCTTTTTTGCACAAATAGGAGGACTGCACATACAGTACACAGTGAGATGCATCCAGGCTTACAAAAAAAAAGGGAGCCCTTAAAAAATCAATTGCTTGAATGATCCACACAGCCTCTATGTTTTTTTTAAATCTAGATCAAAACAATGTCATTGGAAAAAGACACTGAGTATTCAGTCAAGACAAATATCAATGCCTTCATATGTCTTACAAAACTCCATTTAGTTAAATGGAGAACTGTAAATATTGATTTTTCCTTGGTGCATCTCATTGATGCCTCCACTGCCTTTCCATAAACACAGCAGAGGAAAGAAAAGGAAGAAAAATCAGCCCTTGATTTTCTTGTTACCTTGAGTCCTGAGGCCCCTAATGTATAACACATACAGGATCAATGAGCAAGAATGCTTGCTGATAAAATAAAGAAAAAAATAAACAAAAATAATCTGTTTAGCAGTCTATAAAAACAGTGCAAAGTTTTTGTTTGGTGGCAATTTTATGGGCTTGGCATGATTATATTTTAATCTTTGTCGTTGTTTCTTCTATATTATTTCTATCCTTTTTTTTTCTTCTCAGTTTGCCACTGCAAACCCTTTCCAAGTCACCAGAGTTCACCGACTACTTATGTACAGCCTGTATGTAGACACATGTATACTGGTTTAAAGAGACAGTGCTACCATAGTGATTTAACCAAGACTAAAACTACATTAACATTTATTTTAGTCTGATAAATGAATATTTCATATGAAATATTTTATATTGCCACAGGTAACCAGCAGTGAGGGGCTCTCTTTCATGTTTCCTGCATCTTAAATACCTTGATATGGACAATGGGTTGCTTACAGAGCTCTGCAGCTTAAGCTTTTATGCACACATATAACTCTCAGATGGTTCTATCTGAAACACATGGATGTCTTTGTCCGAGTTTTAGAAGAGAGACAGGGTACCTGAAATGGAAAGATTTGGTTGCCACTTTAAAAATGGGTAAATAAACTTACAATGTATTTATATAGAGAATCTTCTTTTTTAGTTTTGGTAAGATTAGGTCAGAGTTAAAACCCCTATCAGGTACTTTTTGTTGTCTGTGCCCTGCTGAGATTTCCCTTCACTTCTTATCCTGGAGACACAACAAGACTCGAGAGCAAATCTTCCCAAAGTGAGGGGCAATTCCCATCTTAAACAGCTGTCACCGTAACACATGCCGCCAGTGGAAGATTTCCCTTCACTTCTAGCTCTCATGACTCTAAATGTTTGGAATTCAGCTTTACATTAGTACTTAATGACTTAATGACTTAATGGTCCCAAGGATACATAGATGGGCACATTTCCCCAGCATACAGAAAGTCTAACCCTTCCCCATTCTATCCTAAACTTAAAAAAAAAGTTGCCCAATCTAACATCATATTAGCTTCCCTTAACCCCTTCGTGACTGATGACATACAGTGTATCGGGGCTGTTTAAGCATCGGGGCAGTTTAAACAGACTCCCGGCAGCTATTGCCGCCGGGACTCTGTTTAAACTTGTAAAGCCGACTGTCGGCTTTACAACAGGAGCGATTCTGGCGACTTGCCTGTCGCCAGATCGTTTGTGTCCCGATAAAGGGGCTGTCAGTTCTGGGCTCCTGCAGCCCAGCTATAAGCTATTGAAGTACGATCTGCACTTTAATAGCTTATTTCTAGTGTAAAGGTGACACTGGGGGTCTTTTGGACCCCCAGCATCACCTTAAAGAGTACCTGTCACCACCATCTATCACATGGGGGGGCTTGTAAGCCCCCCTATGTGATAGCAGTCAAAGTAAAGTTAAAAAAACAACAGTTTTTTTAATTAAAATAAAATAAATCTAATAATTTTTTAAAAAAAGTCCCCCGCCCCGCGTCGCCACGTAAACACATGTTGGGTATCGCCGTGCACGCCGGAATGAGAGCAATAATTCTAGGGCCAGTATTTTGGGGTATCTCTAAATTGATGACCTGTGGGGGCTTTTAAAGCGTCGTCTATGGACTTTTTGGGGTACTGCAGTTATTCGTTGCACGCAATTTGTAAACTCGGCATGTTGGGTATCGTTTTACTCGTTATAACCTCATCTTTTATATTAAACAAAATAGGTATTTTGTGTTCTGGGGCATTTAATTCAATTTGTCTCTAAATTTTGGGGTTTAATAAGGAGTTGCGCTAATATTGCGCTACATAAAAATTTGCAACTACCACCATTTTATTCTATAGGGTCTTGGCATACAGAAAATATATAATGTTTGGGGGTTTTAAGTAATTTTCAGGCCTAAAATGTGGAATATAACATGGGTGCAAAAAATGGAAAAAAGGCCTCAGTCATGAAGGGGTTAAAAGGACAAACTTTCTTCTAAAAATTTGTATCTACCTGTAGTAACACATGAAAACACATCAAATACACTGATTGGACTGGTTATTTGTTTTTTTGTTTTTGTAAGGCAAATTGATGGACAGCAGAGACAGTAAAACAAAACTGAATGTAAAGTATTATGACTGTGTTTCACATCACAGATTGTAGTGGTTAATTCTCTAGTGCGGGTTAAAAGATGGTCAACATCTGGCTGGTTCTGCGTATGGCCAAAACATTTCATGTGCAACAGATTTTATGAAAGAATTCCAGTGAAAAAAAGTCTTCAACCTAACAAGTCTTTAACTGTCATGCTCTAAAACATGAAAATGCAAATATCAGTTTTTGCTTAGTTTGTATTTTTTTTTTGTGTAAATGCAAGATGATAGATGGCTGGTGACAAGGTTATTACCAGAAGGGTTTGCATGGGCTTTGTTTTATTTGGGAGCAGCAGAAATGTTTGTTGTTTGTTAACATACCACATTCTTTTCTTCATTCCTAATTGTGAAATACTTCTGTACTTTACTAGGTAGTAAAGCAAAATACATTATTCTGGCCCATAGGATTGGAGAAAGCATTCTTTCAGGTTTCTCCTGCCAAAATAACAGATGTTCCCCCTTAATACAGAATTTGATAACAAAACAACAAAAACACTACTTTAGCACTGTTATTTCCCAAAGCATGAGCAGACCAGAATAGAATTCTTGTTAATATTATTTGAATCTCTTGAGCTGATGTCAGCCTCATTATTTCTTGCATTCTTGTGATAATACAAACACACAACACAAGGAAACTGTCACAACTGTGATTATTCAGGAAGCTTCATTTGCATAAGTTACTGCAGCACACCTTGTCCTTCTTAAATGCTCTGTGCTTTGGTCGTGTGATCTCACAAATAGTAATCTTGCAAGAACAGCAGAGATTCTAAGGTAAAAAAATCAATCATTGACAAAAGTAAAAGGGAAAACAATATATTCAGCCTGCTCTTAAGGTGTTTCAAAAAAGGAATGCAATTTTCCTGCCAAGATGTGTATTAAAACTATGCTCAGTTCATTTACTGGGAAGGACAAAGAGATCAGGGTTATTGCTATTTACAGTAAGCATTGTACTTCAAATGAAACTGGAGTTATTGTTTTGTCCAACATGGTAGGATAGAATATTAAGCACTAATAAGAGATCAGAATCTGGATCAATTATTCAGACTGACTGGGAACTGGAGACTTCCAGATAAAAGGACCTTTCTATTACTAACAGCACTATGCTTAAAGTGTATTAATGGAAATCTGTACTGGAAGTAAAATGTAGGCAGATATAGCTGACTCCATTATAAAAAGCAGTTGCTTGTCCATCTATGACTTTGACGTATACTTTGGCTTAACTGACTGCAGGTACAGATCGCTTTTAAAATACAACTTTAGTATATTGATTTTTTTTTTGAACAGGGAATAGTTAGAACTTTTGCAAGGTTTTCTTTTTTACAGTTTGTGTCCGCATTGAGGAGATTTTCCATTACTTCCGGTGGAGTCACCAAGAGTTCCACTTTAGAGATAGACCTTTGTCTCAGGAAAGAACGTGTACTCTGATTTTACCCTGGATTTCCTCTTGTGCTGCCCCACTATAACACTTGGTGATATAGCCCTGATTTTGTTATCCTGGAATATGAGCCTACAATATTGCAGGACAATGGTTTCCTGTGACCCCCGAATCATGTGATCCTGCTCCAGAGTACTGTGAAAAGTCTGCAGAATATGTCTGCCATTTTTAAAAATCAGATGAACACATTGTGTAAATACTAGTTAACGATTTGTCAACCCCATGGTTAGTTACACACAAACTGCAGATTTTTGCAGAAAAACAGGACTCCTATTAGTTCTCTCTAGTTTGCTCTTAGCCGTTTCCCAACTTCCCAGTTTTTATAATATTTGAGGAAGATTTGTATAAATAGGAGAGCTGACTTTGAGCCGTAACACTACAGATGACAGAAGTTACACTGAAAAGTAAATTGACTAATACAATTTACAATGGCTTATAGTGCCTAAGCCCCTGCTTGCTTCCTGGCTCTTGGGCTACACAGCTCCCTCGGCAGTCCCAATTAATTCATAGCAAATAACTTAGTGATCTGCTGCTTGGTGCATTGGCCCTCCTTTTTGCTGACCGCTTGATTCCTCTACAGGAATCCTTTGATGCATATGATGTGCACATAATCTCATGCATCAGTAAGACCCTTATGAAAATCAGAGCTTGGATATCAACCTAGTTAACATATATGTTATAGCTTGAAAGTTTGTGAGTATACACTCATAGATTTTTTTTTTAACTCGAGTGTAAGAGAACCTATGCATTACCCCAAATCCAAAAACAACCTGCTGCTCTGCACAAGAAGAGAGAGCGAGAGCGCGAGAGAGCGAGAGAGCGAGAAGGATTTGTATAATTATGGCTCCAAGCCCTGAGAAATGGCAAAAGTCACTTGTTATATATATATACAGTGCCCCATTTTGGAAATCATGTGCATATCTGCTGCTACTTCATATTTTACTTTTTGACAGAGCTGCATAGCATCAAAAGATGTCATGGAATTATTTTATAATGTTGCGAGCTATGCATGTGTGACTACCTATCATAATATAAATTGGTTGTTGAGCTGATTGGTGCTCGTTGTACATTTTGTCATCAGGCGTTATGGCCTCTTGTTATACCAGTGCACAGCACTGGTAGTGGTTAAATCAATCAGGAACACAAGCTCTTAAGAGTATTTAATGATATACTGTCCATTCAATGATTTAACTTCATCGTGATCAGTATTTCTAAGAGCTACGTCTCTAACTGGCAGAACAATACTTTATCTTTCCCCGTCCACATCAAAACAGAACAGAGACCAGGCAAGTATAGATGGCCCTTGGTGCACTGTCTGAGTAATAATGCTTAGCAAGCAAATCCTGACTCATTTACTCAAACCACATGCAATGTTCTCAAAGACATTAACAAGCATCTGAGCACCACAGCGTACAGCAGATCCATGCAAATACATGGTTTCTGAAAAATAATAATGCCAAAAGACATCTCCCCCTGATTATAGTTGCTGCTTTTATCAATCATTTCACATCTTTGTAGTGCGACATCT